CGTCACCATCGCCCCTTTCCGAGAGTTGGTCATCATGGGCTTCTTCCTCAATTTGCTCTTGTTCATCTTGAGCTGATACCTCCCTGATAGTGATACCCTTGCCAATATTCGTAGCTTGAGCTTTGAGATCTTTCTCCAGTCGCTTGAAATGCAAGCTAGCGTCCCTTCGTAGAATTCCAGCGAGTCTGGTAAGCGCAAGAGCAAAGTGCTCGATACCCATATAGTGAGTTTTGAAGCATTCCTGAAGTGGAAAGAAAAGGAGGTGAACCGAGAATACTTTTCCAAGTGAGCCGCTTGCTTTTTGTATTCTTTCTGTTACCTCAATTTTATCTATGAGTTGCGACAACGCAAGGCGCGAGGTTTGTTGACAGAACCGCTCGATGTCAGCCATTGCCGTCCCTTTCCGTATGGGGAGTTGCATCATAGGAGTCTTGGGATCAATCGCGGCTGTCATCACAATTTCTCTTAATCTTGGAATTCCAAGAGTCACATTGGCAGCACCATGACCTATCGAGAGGATAAGAAGAGATTGTTAAAAGTCTAGAATCTTCCTCACCTGCAAAGTGAAAGGTATTCAATGTCATTTGTGTCGAGGGCTCGCCCACCCTGTCATGTGCATCAGAATTTCATCATCAGCTTAAATGATGAGAATTACCCTTGGGAAGCTAGAAGGCCAACTGCCTCGCCTGGCTCTACCAAAGAACGCATGTAGCGAACAGACATCAAAGATCGAAACATTTTTGCCGACAATACTGGTTTGATCGTTTCTCTTTGATTTGTTTGAGACTTGACAATCAATAGGTGGTTTTTGTTATTGGAGATGTATTCGTCCACTTTCTCGGCAAAAAGTTCTGAGGTTGACCCAAGGTACCGCGAAGGAGAAAATTTACACAATGTAGGGTCCGAAAGATTTCGGTTGGGGTGCTTTTTCTTTTTCTTTAAGAGTTTCTTCATATGTTCACTCGCCTCGCTTTCGTCGACTTTGCCAGCAAGTGAACGAGCCGCAAATTTGCTTGCCAGAGATTGATGGTTTTTGAGATTGAAGGCAAATTCGTTCAAGTGCATTTGTCGAGTCACATCGAGTCCATCCTCCCCGTATAGGAATTGATAGACTGCAGAGTCTGCTCCTCGAACGGTGTGATCGTAATTCACGCGGATACCCTCGAGGTGCTTGATCAGACAGCGTTGTAGGTACCCAGAACGGCTTGTCTTCACTGCAGTGTCGATTAAACCCTCGCGCCCCGCCATACAGTGGAAATAAAATTCTTGCGCTTTGAGTCCCGTTAGGAAGCGACTTCCTATATATCCCCCCGCGATAGCGGCAGTTTCGAAAGGCTTAAAAGAGGGTAATGTCTTCCCGCTGACCATCACTGGGACACGCCTCCCTTCCAGCTCTTGTTGTCCAAGTAGTGCTGAGATTTGACGTGCATTGGTAGGACTTCCTTTGGCCCCTGAAATGGTCATTGCTTGCATATTATTATTGGGGAA